TCAAACTGTGGAAAGAATGAAACCAGTGGTGAGTTGTAAGGTCGTTGTCTGGAAAAAACCTACTGAGGGAAGATTCAAACTCAATAGTGATGCTAGTTTTTTAAGAAGCAATAACAGAGCTGGAATTGGGGGTATCATTAGAGATGCAGTTGGAGATCTTGTAATGGCCTATTCAATTCCAATATTTTGTGAAAGTAACAATCAAGCAGAAGCTGAAGCTGTTAGATATGGTGTTCAATGGTCCAATCAAAACAATATCAACAGACTGGACTTGGAGATGGACTCTATGGTTATTGCTAACATGCTAAAAGAAGAGAACAACTCCAACCTTAAACTCAAAGAGATCATCAGGGAAATAAGGCTCAACATGGACATAGATGAAACACAAGTACGCCATTGTTTCAGAGAGGCCAACCAAATGGCTGATTTATTGGCAAAAATGGCATCCTCAAGTGGAATGGGTAACTTTTACTATTCTTTTCAACAACTTCCAAAAGAATTAAAGAGACCCTTTCAACTAGATAAATATCAACTTCCTAGTATTAGAAGGAGGTTTGATAAGGCTAACTTTTTTGTAAGTTGAATTATTCCTGAGACTAAGGAAGAGACTTTGTATAGGCTAAACTCTTCCTTGAAGATTGTTATCTTGTATTGTTACAGTGAGGTAAGGTCCACGCCCTCCTCCTTTTGAATGCTCTTTAATGGAAATAGACATGGAAAAAAAAACCAGTACAAAAAAAATAGGTGCACATTTTGGGAGCTGCTAGACCAGTTTCAGATTCCAATTTGCTGGCTAAAAACATAAAACCCATGAACCCAAAGCATAACATGACACACACCTTTGAAGAAAATAGAAAATGTGAAACCAGAACAAGTGATTGTGTTATCAAGTAGTACAGTGCAGTCTTCAAGAAAGAAAGAAAATGGGTTCACAAGAATCATAACCCATAAACCATATGCATCTAGACTAGCTTGTATGCACCTCGATTAATCCACTTGTTAGCCGTACTATCCCACATTGTCCCAACCCTAAGCTCCTATGAGCTCACATTAAGCTGAGATTCGAACCTGAACCACTCACTCAGTCGTCTGCTCAAAGAAACTAACAAGTACCCATTATCAAACCCCCAAAATAAAAAAAGATAATAAAAACACAAAGCAATGTAGTGGGGTAGCATAAAAGGGAAAGAGATGTAAAGAAACTTACGCCATGGGGGAGGACTAGTAATGCAGTAGGAAACATTAGGAAGCTGATCTTTTGGTGGATGTGGCACTGGTTCACTTGCCTTTGCTGCTGGAGCTGCTCCTCCTCCTCCACCTCCTGCCATTTCTCTCTCTCTCTCTCTTCACCAACAAGTGCAACACCCCAAATCTACAGCACACCCAAATCAGCAAATCTCTCAGAAAAAACTATGAAAAAAGAAAAAAAAAATGTCACAAAAAAAAGTTTGTGAAAGTACCAAGAGAGCAAAAAACTGAAGAAAAAGGTTTTATGGTACAGAGAAATGGAAAAATGAAGCTCAAAAGGAAGAAGAGTGACAAGAATGGAGCAGCCAGGCCACATGGTGTAGTACTACACACCCCACTCACTTTTGTATTAATGTAATGTAATGTAATGTAATAATGTAATAATAACAAAATTTAACTGAAAATTATATTTTACGACTTATCATCACTTACAAATTGAATAGAAGAAATAATATTTTAACATAAAATAAAAATATTAAAATAATTTCATAACGAATTATAAACTCAATTCTTTCGAAATTTAAAAGGACCTTAGTAAAATGAAACTATACATTAAAGAAAATATCAAGAAAGACATTTCTCGTTATTGATTTAGAGCAATAATTATTGGTATTTGTTGATTAGAAAAAAACTGTGCTAATTCACAAAGTTTTATAAGCAAATGTGAATTATTTCGCATATTACAAGAATACGTTTAACCTTTTTAACAGAGACTTATATATTGAAAATCAAATAAAGACATATTTAGAGTAATTTTATAACAACAAAAATATTTTTACCACGATTAACGAAAACAGAATTTTTATCATAGCACAAAATTTGAATTATTATTTTTCTCGAAAATAAATTTATAAACAAATATTTGTAAGAAATAGAAATTAATCAAAAGAATCTTGACCCCCCCCCCCCCTCTCCCCGCTTCCTGTGTATTAGTTTAAGTGCTAATTTATATTTATTACTTCAATAAAAATAGTTTATCTTTTGTCAGCAATCTGACTAAGGTTTTTTTAAATCTAAGCCTTATATTTTAAAAAATTTATATACTTCAAATAGAAGAGGATTAACATTTATTCTAATGACGGATTTGTTCGTACAACAATCTCAAATTAAATTAAGCACAAATTCCAATGCAAGACAAAGAAAGTTAATGCAAGATTCCCAAACATACAATTTGATTTTGAATTTAAAAAATGTGTTTCAAACCTAATTGCTATCAGTTCCATCCCATATTAAATGGCACTTTATTAAAAATATTTGTCTCATTTTATTCGATAACTTATTAAATTATGAGAGAATTAATTTTTTTTTTCATTTTACCCCTATAATTATTATGACCTTCGAAAGTTTAAAGAAAATTTGAAGTCCAAGAATATACTTTTTAAAAGCTATTTAATATGAACTAAGGGCAAAATCATTAATAGATTTAAAGATGATCAATCCATTAATAATTTTTAATTATCGTGTAAAATAGAAAGTGTATATTTAATATGAAACAGAAGGAGTATAGTAGTTTAATGAATTAAGATCACACTACTCGGTATTTATTTTTTTGGGACATTTTCAATGTATCGCATAAGAAAAAGAAAATAAAAAGACAATTTAGAAGATTATGTCTTTTTGTTTTCATTTGATCATAGATTTTGAAATTAAAATTTTAACGACTACGATTTCTTATTTTTTGGGTACATAAGAATATATTAATTGAAACTTTAAATTAAATAGAATTCATATCCAAAGTGCATCAAATTGGGGACTTCTCAATTTACTTATTTGAATAATTAATCTAACGATTAGAAGTCATAATTTGTGGGAATAATTTGATTCACATGAGACTTTGATCTGCAATAAAGTGCATGAAGGTATGTTAATCTGATTTGAACTTTAATTAGCAAAATATACCTTTTACATTTTTGTACATTAAAAATTATAGGATATTTAAAAAAATTAGAAATTAATTTTAGGTTTAGTTTATTCCACGTTTGATTGAAATAAATTGTAGATTTATCTCAAAATTATAGTGTTATTTTTATCTCACATCAAGAGCTCATTTGGTACGAGGAATAAGATATACTTAATCCCATAATTAATTTTTGATGAGTTTATTTTATGTTTGGTTAAGGCAAAATCACATGATAACTGATTCCGAGTCAGTTATCTCAGGATTATAGTGTTATTTTTATTCAACATTGAGGATAAAATAACGATTTTCAATCAAACAAGTCTAAAAGGTGAGGACCTCACGAGATTAGTTCAAGCGCTTTCGGTGGGCAGGAGTTGCCCAAATTCATTACACATACTAACCTTGTTTTGATTCCAAAAAAGGAGTTTGTGCAAAAATTCAAAGAGTTGAGGCCCATAAGTCTGAGCAATTTTACTAATAAGGTGATTTCGAGACTGCTTCATGAGAGGATTGTTGGAGTGCCTCTAAATATTATATCTCCTAACCAGTCCGAATTTGTGAAAGGAAGAAGCATAACGAAAAATGTTTTGTTAGCACAAGAGATTATACGGGATATATACCTAAGTAATAAAGAGGCTAATGTAGTGGTAAAGTTGGATATGGCTAAGGCATATGATAGAGTGGCTTGGATATTCTTAACAAACGTGCTAAGGAAGTTTGGATTCTCAAGGTGATAACAAATATTGTTTGGAGGTTGATTTTGGCTAATTGGTACTATGTACTAATTAATGGACAGACTTATGGCTTCTTCCACTCAACTAGGGGACTAAAGCAAGGGGATCCATTGTCTCCAACCTTGTTTATTATAGTTACGGAGGTGTTATCTAAAAGTCTTAACCAACTTAATGAGCAAGAATCTTTTAAGGGATTTGAAATGCCAAAATGGAGTCCTAAAATCAATCATCTAGCCTATGCAGATGACACAATTTTGTTTGGATCGGGAGACAGGCATTCAATGATTCAAATTATGAAGATTTTGAGGGATTATGAAACAGTGTCGGGACAAATGGTCAACAAGGAGAACAGTTTTTTTTACTTACATGAAAAGACACCTTTGATTGTAACAATAAGGCTGAGGATTAGGCCTGGCAATTTGTCTGTCACATACCTAGGGTGTCCTATATATTATGGAAGAAAAAAGAATAGCTACTTCGAAGGGCTAATTAAGAAGGTTGCGGCCAGAATTTTCTTATGGCATAACAGATTCCTGTCCTTTGGTGGAAAATACATTTTGATAAATCATGTACTGCAGTCCATACCTATTTACATGTTATCAACTATCTCTCCACTAAAAGATGTTATAGATCAAATCCATCCGTTTTTTGCTAATTTTTTCTGGGGTGACTATACAAAAGTAAAAGGTAAACATTGGGTTGCATAGTCTGAAATGTGCTTCCCAAATAGGGAAGGGGGCTGGGGTTCAGATTCATTTTTGATATATCTAATGCTCTTTTCGCTAAATTGTGGTGGTTGTTTAGAACTCAGACATCGCTATGAAGCACATTTATGTGGAACGAGTATTGTAAAAAACACCACCCCACAATGGCGAATAACAGATGTGCATCACATGGCGGAGCCAGGATTTTCAATAAGGAGGTTCAAAATCTGTAGAAATAGACACACGAAGTAGCCGAAGGGGGTTCGACATATACTATATATACATAAAAAAACATTTTAACCATGTATAATTAATGTAATTTTTCGCCGAAAGGGGTTCGGATGAACCTCCTTAGTATAAGGTGGCTTCGCCCCTGATCATAGGTCTGGAGAAAAATGATACGAGTCAGGGAAGATGTGGAACATGAAATTTGATGGCAACAGAAGGCAGGGAATGCTAGCTTCTGGATGGACAACTGGACTAAACAAGGTGTTTTTTATTACATTGAACCAAAAGGAGTATAGGAAGAAGTGGAGGTCAAAGAGATAATTCAGAATAGGCAATGGGATATAGCAAGACTAAGTCAGTTATTGTCTCACAATATAGTAGGTTGTATTTTGAAGGATATCAGTTCTAATATGAGCGTGGGTGCTCAAGATAAGGCCTGGTGGATGGGTAATTCTCAAGGGGAATTTATTGTGAGGTCATCATTTCATGTAACTAGGCAAAAAAAAAAAAAATTGAATAGATGACTAACTTCTGAATTGGGTGGTTACCTTTTAAAACTTCATTATTTTTTTGGAGAGTATGGAGACAGAGAATTCCCACATATGATGTTCTTAAAAGGATGAGAGTAAATATGGTATCAAAATGCTATTGTTGCAATGTGGAGGAGGAGGAAACAATACAACACATATTTCTAACATCCCTCATAGCCCAAAAGTTATGGAAGCACTTAGCTTCATGTGCAGATATTAACATTGAGGGAATTCACCTACAACAACTGATTACTACCTGGTGGAATTGGCCAGGACAGTACAAGGTGAAACAAATTTTCAAGGCAATACCAGTAATTACTTTATGGAAAATGAGTAATGCTAAAAAACATGAAAATGAGGTGACATATATGAGGTTGCTAGGGCAATGTCACCAAACAATTCAAATGTTAATCAAAGTGAAGTATCCATGGCTAAGATAAAAGATTCAGAATTGGCAGGAGATGCTCACCACTCTAAGCGCATACAAACCAACACTATACTATAGAATAATGTGCTGGGAGAAACCAGATTATGATTAGGTGAAATCAAACACATATGGTGCATGCAAAGAAAATCCTGGACAGAGCTCATATGGATTCAACATACGAGATAACATGGGAGATTTAATTTATGCGGAAGCACAAATGATAGGGGAGGCTATAAATATGGAAGCTGAAATTATGAATGTGTTAAAAACAATGCAATACTGCACAACACAAAATTTTCAGAAGATAATTATGGATACAGATTCATTGACAATTAAACACATGTTACTAATGCAATGGAAGATTCTTTAGTCACGTGCTGAAAAGATAGAAAACATACAACAAACATAGCAAGAAAGCAGGTTGAAGTAAAACATATATTTCGGGAGGCTAATCGATTAATAGACTATCTGGCAAACTGGTTTTAGATCAAGCAAGGCAAGTACAAGTATATGACTTCGATAATCTACCAAGCACATGAAGAAGAATTCTCAACATAGATAAACGACATATTCCATTATTAAGAATTAAAATAAGGAGAATCAACCCAACATGCTAAGTCAACCAAAACTACATAACTACTATATTTACAAATCCAAGTTCTATCTTCTAAGAGACGACCTAGTTGTGCTGAAGCTTACTTACCTAAGAGCAACTTCAGCTTACATATGAAGCTCAAACTCGAGCCTCAGGCTGATAACTCAAAGCTTTCAGAAGGAACGTCATCGTTGACTGTGTGAATTCCACACATCTCCACCGGGGTATACATCTACAAAAAAAGAAAAGTTAACAGGGAAACTAGTTGGAAAAGACACAAAATATGATGGGAATACCTTTATGAGCTGAGATATCACTTCGTTGATCATGGATGTAGAATATTGAGGTCCCAGCGGCGGAGAATGATCAAAGACAAGAAAAAGGGGATAAGAAACATGGAGGCGGATGAGGAGAGACAAAGAGAACTCTTTATAGTAAACCCTACTGTTGGGGAAGCTTAACTTGTCTTTCCTAAATTGGGCCAGCTAACTCCTGTTTAATTTGGGCTTCTTTAGCCAGCTGATGTAAGGATTGTTGAGAAGCAATAATCGAACCCCATATCCAAAAATTCATTTTTTTATTTAAAAAGTCTAAGGGTATCTCCAACCCTAAACTCTCCAAATATAGAGTTTTATATTTTTTCAGACAATCAACTCCAACCCAACTCTCTAAAAAGGAATTTTTTTCTCTCTCTTCAATATTATATTATTATTTATATTTCTATTTCATTTTCTTATTTCATAATATAAATCTGTTCTTTTTTTTCTTTAAAATAATCACTCTATATAATTTTCATGTAATATAAAATTATTACTTTTCAAATTTTGTATTTAATATAAAATTATATTTTATTCTAAATTTTTAAAGAACAACTACAAATAATTGAAAAAGAGAAATCAATAAACACAACCGCATTCACAAGCACAACAATTCTCTAGATCATACACTATTTTTTTTCCGAATATTGTTAAATCTGAAAATGACCAACCGGATTACTAAATTATTGTTGTGATTTTTAAAATTATTATGTTATGTATTGTATTGTTATCTTGTATATAAATTATTATGTCATTTATTGTATTTTTAAAATTTTAAAATGTTGTATTACATTTTAAAAGAATTATGAATATTAGAAATTTAATTAATTGTCTTATATGAAAAATAATATGTTAGTTACAAATAATATAATAATATTAAACTAATGACAAAGTGAAATAGAGAGGTGAATACTAGTTCTCCAAATTTGGAGAACTACTATTCACCTCTCTATAAACAGAGAATAGAGAGTTTTTTAGAGGGTGATTGGAGATCCAATTCTCTATTTTACTCTCTAAATATAGAGAATGAAGAGTAAAGTAGAGTGGGGTTGGAGATGAACTAAAGGGTGAAATGAGAGGGAAATATTGAAAATACTTTTGAGTTTATTTTTATTCCACATTGAGGATAAAATAACGATCTTGAAATAACTAATATTGGGATAATTAATTATGGAATAACATAATCTTCAATCAAACAAGTCTAAAGGGTGAAATAAGAGAGAAAATATTTATGAGCTTGACACAAGTTATTAGTTTCGTCTCCGAACTATTGACAGACTTAAAAACATTCATTTACTTTACTAACTAAACTTAGATACACAAAGCATGAGACTCTTAATAAAAAAACTGAGAGAAGAGTTGAAAACACTTTTAAACTTGATGAGAATTTAGAGGTGTATTTCACTCATGTTGCAAGATCAGGGGTATATTTAAGTTCAGTTAGTCAAGTAAAGAAATATTTTAAAAGCTTTCAATAATTCAGGATGAAACTAATAATTTACGTCAAATTTAGAGGTGTTTCCAATACTTCTAATAATTCTGAAATAACTTGTTCTCTAACCAAACGAGCCCTAAAATCATTAACGGGCCATGTGAGTTGTAAGATATGGGCTAGTTCAGTCTTGCTTCCAAGGCAGGCCCATATCATATTTTTCACTAGTTTTTCCGCCATTTTCAAAGTTCGTGTAATGCCCTAAAAAGAAAGATAATTTCAGTTCAATTTTCACCCAGAAACTCATAATCCATAGATTAACGCATCAATTTTGTCTCAGAAAAAAGTTAATATCTCTTCCAAATTACTTTTTTGTGAAGAGAGTTTTCAATTTTCATTTTAGTATAGAATTTAGAATTTCCATTTTCATGGCCTTACCAATTTTTTTGTGGTCTTGATATTGCAGAGAGCGAGCCAATGAAAGTCAAGATTTTGCGTATCCTTTTGTGGTTATTTCACTGATGATATGAAATGTACAAATGAAGGCTATGAAATGTATATATGTTAATTTCATTGGAGCAGATTAAAGTGCAGTGAATTATAGCAAATGTTAGGAAATAATTTCTGTTATGGAAACATATTTTTACAGTCTAAATATGCAACTAGTTTGATTCCCACTTCGTAGGATTACATTGGGTATGTTGTTGTTGTAAATATGTAATTAGTGATTGGATATGCCTTATCATGTGATCTTGGGATTTTAATATCATTGAGTTCTGAATTTTGTTGGAGAATGTAGAGGCATTGAACTTCTTAGGATTACAAAGAAGCATTCTCACTAGCCCTTTGGTCTTTTTCCTCTGAAAATCTACTTTTTTAAAAAAAAATAAGTTATTAGGTTTGAACCTTTCACCTCAACTGTGACTTCTATTTATATTCCATCGATTATTTCATGTTTTTATGAGGTGTAGAAGTGCATGTTCTAATTTTGTTAAGTAAATGGAGTGTAAGCTTTATGTTTCAAGTTGGTTAGATGCTTTGACAGAAGGATATGTTGTGATATTTCTTTGGGATATAGACTATATCATGAATTTTCCCTTAACCAGTTCTGTTGTGTTTTTTGCTGGGATCGTGAATAGAGTATGTCCTCTTCATGACATTTGGTATTTAATAGTTGTCTGACTTTAGACTACATTATGTGATTACTGCATCTTACTTCCTTGTGTGTTGCAGATGGCACACCGTTGCTTCATGGACATGGGACGCGCAAGATGAAACTTGTGGTATATGCAGGATGGCTTTTGATGGTTGTTGTCCTGATTGCAAACTCCCTGGTGATGACTGTCCACTAAGTAAGCCTGTTTATCTCTCACTGATAATTTTCTCAGTAAGTTACTGAATCACCATTCACATGTAAACCTAGTGTATCTGCATATACAATGAGTCACACCAATTCTAATATATTTACATGGATAAAATATTATGTTTTGTAGATTTCATATCGTTAGTGCCTTTTATGTCTGTACATTGATATGTATTTGCACTTTCAACTTTGAGATACATTATTGAAGCAATTGATGAAACAATTCAAGCATCAGAAAATTTTGGTTCCTAGACTTTTCGTCTGTGCCTTCCAATTGAGGTTATAAGTCTGCTGCACTATCTTTCCAAGAGTAAAAAGAAAAATGTGATTGTGCATTCATTTCATCATGTATTGACAAAATGGGAAAAAATCCTCCTGCCTTAGTTTACGAGGTTTACATATTTCTATAATTGATGTTACTCATGAGCACAAGGAATGGTATAAAGTGTTCCTTGATAATATTATAGTCCTTCATTCTAGTGTTACCTATCACTGTCCTACTGGATGGTAAAACTAGTTTTAGTTCGTTTGATTTGGTTGTAAGACTGGAAATGATAAAGTAAAGGGTACAACTTTTGGATACAAAGTAGGTGGGTTACTGAAAACATTGATATTCTCAAAACTTAGCTCTACAATCTATATAAAATCCCTTCAAGCTACGGTACCTTGTTTAAGCACTCAACGGAAAGAAGAATACTACTTTAATTGCACACTGTTTCTATTACTGTACTTACCTTAGTACACCACTTTCATTAAGTCTTGTGTTTTTCAGGGGTCTTTTTAGTTTGATTTCATTACTTAACACCCAGTCAGTGTCAAAGGAATTTGCAAATGATGTATATGAACCGAAATGAGCCATCCACATGCATCAAACCACTTTGATCGCTATAGAAACATGTTATTTTCTCTTTACCAAAAATATGAATGAACAAGAAAATAACTTTTAATATTTCTACACCATACTGCTCTGAAACAATCTTGTATATCTTTCGTTCCATAAAGTACCAAAGAGGCATAGTAATGTTTCCCAGGCTACCCTCCTTTAACTGTTGATATCTGATGTGAGCCGTTGGCCCTAGCCCCTATGAAGCATAAATGCTTGTCTTGCCAGCAGGATTTTATAAATTGTCTCGCCCTATATCCCCATCTCTTCTCTTCCATAAACCGAGAGGCATTAGAATCAGCCTCTCTTGCTAGCAGGATTTCAATAATCCCAAGAGAAAGTAGTTTACATTGGTAATTTTGTTTCATTCTATTAATACTTTATCCTTAAATTTTTTTGATAATCATGGTGTCCATGCCAGCTTGCGGGCACCGCGACTAATTCCATGAGATACGTGTTACCTCCCACCCGCAACAACTACCACGTAACTCTTCCACCAAGGCTCAGATATATGGGAAAATCACCGAGTGTCTGTTTTTGTCTCCGCTGGAATTTGAACTGGAGACTTCATGGTTCTTCTCCCACTTCATTGACCACTAGGCCACACCCGTGGATGCTCACTGTTTCTTATCCAACTTCAAGGAAATTACATATCCAATATGTATTGCAGAAAAAGTGGCAAATAAATATGCATGGATATTAAGAGAAGTACTCTTAAGAATCAAACAGACATTAGTGAGAACTATTGAGAAGTTGTGATTTTCTGAGAACTCCTATGTCTATGGGAACTTATTTAAGTCATTACTGGCACGTGAAGCCTATCTTCATGCCTAAAACCAAATTTGATCTCTAACATGCATAAAGGTTAAAGTTGGTGATACAGTGTGATTATTCAAGCTTCTGTCAGAGTAGATAGACATTATTTTTCATGGAGAGAAGCATGATTCAATACCACAAGCGTCTCACAGCTTGGACAAATCAAATGGATACTTAACAATTTGTTTTCAAATTTGAGTCAGTAATATGAGCTAGTCATAGAAAGATTTAGTCAATAACTGAAATGCTCTGTAGCACAGACATATTGTTTGCTAATACTGATTCTCAAAAAATACAAGATTCTTGACAAGTATTTGTACTCTTATCTTTTTGTTGACAGCTTATGGTGAAAATATTTGACCAAAATACTCAGTAAGCTGCAAAGTTACACCCTATATTAACAATTATCTTCAGAGTCTCTTTCAAAGCGTGTATTTTAAAAGGTTCACTTGTGTTAACTACAAATTCATAAGGGGAGAAAAGCTGTCTTGAGAAAGTCTCTGTTGGCACATTTAAACATGCCAGAAACAGAGATGATGCAGTGGAGGATAATTGGGCAGCTCCAGATGTATCACAAGTTTCAATTGTAAAGTTGTCTCTACTACAACTACTAACAATCTTACGTGGACAAAACAAAAACTCTTAAATGATCACAACGTTGTCTCTGTTCAGAGACCATGTGAAATCTGCACCTTCTTTATACAATTTTCCTATACTTCAGAAAAAAAGTGAATTCTATACTTACCTTTGCATTCTAAACTCACAAACCCTTAGCCTTGACCACCCTTAAAACCCAAAAAGAAAAAACAAGGGAGAAAAAAGTAAGTCTTTGGTATCTCTCTATGGCTCTACAAGGCTGGTATAAAAGGGGATGAAACATGCCCACCCAAGCTGAATTTGGGAGTGGCAAAAGGCCATGGTTTTACAGGCTATACTCAAGTTTTTGTCAGCAGTAGTAGTAAGTTAACCAGAATGATGCCTTTTACTTACGGGCAATACCAGAAGGGAGAAGGGAGTAGTACCTTGCAACCAAACTTGCTGAAAACACCAAGGTTAAGCAAGATGATTGCCAAAAGAATGTCCACCGGTCATTTTGCTGTATTTTCATTTTCCCCTTCTGATTATTTCTTAACAAATTCAGATTAAATGTTAATTAAACAGCAAATTAGGAGTGTCACTGGATATTGAAAATGAGGAAGACTTGACGTTTGATTTTTTGATATGGTTAGGGTTCATAATCTTTTTGTGGATGGTATTGACATGACCTCTCAGGAGTCTGGCCCCCTTTTTTTTTTTAATCTTTTGATAATTTACTTGTCTTTGCAGTATGGGGTGCTTGCAACCATGCATTTCATCTTCATTGTATCTTGAAGTGGGTGAATTCTCAATCTGGACAAGCACATTGTCCCATGTGCCGTCGTGAATGGCAGTTCAAAGAATGAACAAAGATGATGGTAGTAGAACGAATGAATTCAAAATTTAAGTCCACAACTAGGATTTTATGTTTCATGCCTCTTGAGCGAAGGGGTAAAAATTGCTTGCTTTCTATTGATATATTTCAGTAATACAGTGTCTGTGTGTGATAGTATATATTATAGCGAGCATAGTTGTGTCCGTCCCGATATACAATTATCAGTTTAAGCCTATGTGGCCAAGAATAGGTAGTGTATTTGTATCAGCCTTGGAAGCAGGTGTTGAAGTTCTACAGCCATGCCATCGATCCGGATTCTTTAACTGAGATATTCTTCTATCTGAAGATGACAAGATTCAAGCTTAGCTTACGGATGCAGCTTCTTATATTCTTTCTATCTGAGAGATGTGAAAACCAACAAGAGTGGTTTGATGAGATGTAAGTTGGATTCATGTTGTATAAACGTGAGACTCATTAAATTAGTGGTCATTGTTGGGCACAAAATCTGGTGTCAACGTGTGTGTATTAAATAAAAAGACATGGGCAAGTAGTCCATGTGTATGAGTCAGCTTTTTTTTATAAGGGTACGTAGTGCTTTTGTACTATCTTTCTGACTAAAAGCAGATTTGGTTGCTACTGCCTAAAGCAAAGCAACTTCTTTGGCAGCAAACTATTCCTTTATTACTATTCTTGCTTTAGGTAGAGGGTCAGCTGCTGACATTTGCCCTCTCTTTTTATTTTTTCCTTTTTTTGTGGTGCTATCGTTTTCATTGTTACCAAAATGAATTGAATTTCTTGACACAATTAATTTCATACATCATTTAAGTAATACTCCCTCCGTTTCACAAAGAATGACCTCCTTTCCTTTTTAGTCAGTTTCAAAAAAATGATCTCTTTCCTTTTTTGGTAACATTTTACTTTTTGCTTTCCACGTGGCATGTTTAAGACCACAAGATTAAGGACAATTTTGTACATTTAACATAATTTTAATTTAGGACCACAAGATTCAAAAGTCTTCTTTAATTTCTTAAATTTCATGCCAAGTCAAACCAATCTTTTTGAAACGGAGGAAGTAGTTGAGAACTACGACGTGACATAACATAACAACTTCCATCGTGCATAAACATTGGAAACAATAAATAGAGTGATAGACACATGAAATTCGATGAACTGTTTACCGATCCTACATTCAACAAGCTTGTAAACACGTGGTTAAACAAGATTATGAACCTCATTGTCAAATTACATATAAGCCCTTTATGAAGATGGATAATTATTCCTTTTTTGCTCTTGTAAAGGAAGCTACCCAATCAATCACTCACCCACCCACATGCGTACGGAACCAGAAAACACAATGGGTCAGTGGTGAATCTGATGCCAAACAAAATATAAGGAAAAAAAATGAATGAAAAGAAAGAAATAGAGAGAGAGTTGCTTTCTTAGAAAAATTAAAAGTCAAATCCTCACGCCACATCTCACCCGCATCTGTCAACTCACCCCCCCTAGCTAGCTCGACCCCCTCCACCTCAAATTACTATATACTATGTACCTATATTGTTCGGACTTTTAATTAAAAAAACTTTATTATAATATTGAAAAATCTCTTTCTGCTTTATTAAGCTCTTTCCGTAGTTGAGAGCTTCTTCAATTTAATTTCGAGTGAGTTTGGTTTTGACTTTTGAATGAAAGTTGGTTTTATAATGAGTTAATGACGTCTGTCAAGGACACGTATAGGATTTGATTCGGTGGATACGATGATAAATGTAACTTCATTAATGTCCTTTGTGAAAGAAGAATTGGCTGATGTCCACTACTGATAATGATGACTGTCAGACACAAGTATATAATTTGAATCGGTGGATATATATGATGATAAATGTTACTTCATTAATGTCCCTTATGAAAGAAGAATTGACTTAAGTCGAAGGCAAATCCATCGGATTGGCTGATTGCAGCGCTTATAATCACAAAACCTTATAGCTAGTGCTACCTCTATTTATCATAATGAAATCAAAGCAACAATATAATAGAAGGAAGAACTTATTGTATTGAAATTGGAGCAAACTAAGAATAGAACTTTGTCAGTATTGAAATTAGAGCAAGAATCGAATAGAAGGAAGAACTTATCGTATTGAAAACACAGGAATAGTAGAATAAAAGGAAGAACTTACAACTTTATCTTCTCCTCCAATCAACGACGACCGTCTATGATATCAGGACTGACCTATGAGGAGTATGAGAGAGTGATTCGACATGATCTTCAAAAGAAGCATCCTCAAATCCAAATTAAATCCCTACACCCGAAAGATTGTTCATCCAATCACCGAACAACGCATGTACACTCTCTCCCCCTTAAAACGCCGACCACAAAAAAACACTCCTATAATCAAAACCACTCATAACAAATACTAATTCTATTTATCTCTATCTTTTTCTTTAACCGAAACCTTTGAACCTCAATCATAGAAAACACTCTTAAATACGACGATATTAAATCAAAACAAGAATAGAAAAAATAGGCCTGCCAGGTGTGTTTAGAATTAGCCTTTTTAGTTTAAATTTTTTATTTTTTAGTGAGTGCAGTCACATTCTAGCACCACGTCATCATCAGTACTACTCATATAGTAGCAGTCAGTCACAAAAACATTTCAGTCTTTTTAACTCATCTTTTATGGGTCCCACAAAGTGTTATCAATGCGTCTGCCCAATCTGCCCAAAATCCCCTGCCCGTTTTCCCCTAATCTCTACAACCCGAAACTTCTCAAACAACAACAACACCTTTCCTTTTTAACCCTTTCATAAACACTTCGCGATTTCTTCTTTCTTCCTCAAATACTCCTACTTCGTATTTTTTCACAACTTAAATTAAGGTTTGTATTTTATATAGTTGTTTTTTTTTTTGTGTTTTTGTGTTGGTGTTTGTTTGTTATGTGGAAAGATACGAGGAGTTGTTTGTGTATGAATTGGATCTAACAATTTGATGTTTGCAGATCGGTGAATTGATGTTTTGGTGTTGAAATTGAGTGAAGGAAGTTAGGGTTTTGGGGTATTAATTGGGCGATCGAGGTTTTTTTTGGGGTTCTAGGGTTGAGGAAAATTGGGGATTTTTGTTTTGTTTGAGGAATTGGATGGTTTAATTGATGGTTGAGAGTGAAGTGAGTGGGGAAAATGCAAGGGGAGTTTTATTATGCATGGGAGGATACAAAGGGAAGAAGGTCAGGTTTGTAAAAAGGGGAGTGGAAGCGGTGGTCAGCACATGCCGGCGACGACTACAAGGAGGACTGTAGACGTCGGTGGTTCTTCTATTGTTAATACTGTTACTGCTGATTCCTTCTGTAAGGTATTGTCTTGATTGCTTTTTTTTTTTTCTTTTTCTATTTCGTTTTCTTTTATGTGCCCGTCTGCTCACTGAGGGGAGTTCTGTAATAGTGCATAAAAAAGATAGTTTTTTTTGTTTGCGTGCGATTTTTTTGGAGGTTGTATCATTTTAGCTTAGCTTCTTGCGGCTTTATGTGATAAATATGCTCATATGTTTGCCTTGTGTTTGGTCATATTTTGCAGAGAGGTGTATAGTTAGGTATTTGGTGCGCGGATGTGTTCTTTAGTATTATGTTAGCTTCTTATTCATCCATCATCTGCACTTGTGCATCTTGAAAGCTTGGTCGTGGTCGTGTATGGTTGTTCACTACTTGGTTGTTGTGTCTTTTTGGGTGAAGATACTGGGATTAGATAAAGCAAGCAGTTAAATTGCAAATATACCTCAAACTAGTGTTCTCCAAATTCTGGGTAGATAAGTGTTGGTTCTACAATTATGAAGTACTGTCAATACAAAAAAGTGCCTAGAAACTATGGAAGTGTGTTACTATAATTTTTTGTTTAGAATGAAGAGGATAAGGGTTTTCCCCCTTTCCATGTCTTCAACTCTATCAACATCTCTCACTATTGCTTTTTAGTTCATATATGTGTTATCCTCTGTGTAGTTTTCTTATGTTTTTACGCTGTTTGTAGTTTTCTTATATTCTGTTAGTTTATTTTGGTATTTTTTATTCTGGTTTTCTTGGTGAAGTGAATGTTATCCTCTCTCTGCAGGATGGTCGCAAAATTCGTGTGGGAGATTGCGCTTTGTTCAAACCACCACATGATTCACCGCCTTTCATTGGAATAATACGTAGACTAAGATTGGGTAAAGATAATAACTTGCAATTAGGTCTTAATTGGCTCTATCGTCCTGCTGAGCTGAAGCTTAGCAAGGGCATCTTGCTGGACACCACGCCCAACGAAATCTTTTATTCCTTCCATAGGGATGAGACTCCAGCTGCATCATTACTCCATCCATGTAAAGTTGCATTCCTTTCTAAAGGGGCTGAACTTCCAACTGGGATATCCTCATTTGTCTGCAGGCGGGTTTATGACATTTCAAACAAGTGCTTACGTTGGTTAACTGATCAAGATTATATTAACGTAAGTTATCATTTCATTGCTTGACAGTTCAGTATTCCTCTGCTAAACTATGGGCAGGTAATTTGTTTTACAGATGATATAGATAAATAGGGTTGAAATGTTGAATGGAAAAGGGAGAGAGAGAGTGTCTTGTTCTTGGATATGTTTTTCATCAAAGAAAAAGAAGGTTTTGGGCTGCTTTGCGGGGTGGTTCCTTGAAATGGTGTGAGAACAAGAGGAATTGCAAAACTTTCAGGCATTTTTTTTGTGATCTCGCTTATTGTTTCACTTATCAAATATTATTTTTCCTCTGCAGGAACAACAAAAAGAGGTAGATCAGCTGTTATACAAGACACAAGTAGAGATGCATGCAACAGTGCAGCCTGGTGGTCGTTCTCCTAAACCGATGAATGGCTCTATGTCGGCGTCACAATTGAAAACTGGTTCTGATAATGTACAAAATAGTGTAGCATCTTTTCCTTCACAAGTCAAGGGAAAGAAAAGGGAGCGAGGAGAACAGGGCTCTGAATCCATCAAACGGGAACGTTCAGTTAAATCTGATGATAGTGAAAGCGTCTTAAAATCTGAAATTT